TATATTTCAGGGACACTGGCTGACCTCAGGCCAGCGTTCTGTGCACAGTGTGCATGCTTAGGGACAGAAGGGGCAGGGGAGGTGCAGAGAAGGGGGGCCATGGAAGGGTGGTGGGCCTCTCTCAATTCACAAAGCACAGATTGACAACATACCACACAACTGCCAATTCTCCGTTACACTCAAATTTTACTCCTGGCTCCCAGGATTGAGCTCCAGCCTGCTTGACCTGTGCCTGGGGGCTGCACTCCAACCCCAGATGGCATGAGAACCCTGGTGGATGCTATTCTCTGGCCACATCAGTGATTCTCAAACTTGGATACACTTTAGAATCATCTGGAGGCTTTTAGACACATACACTCATTAAGGCCCCAACCCAAATGCTGATCGCGTTGGTTGGGGAGGGCCTGGACATCCACCTCTGTTAAATGCTCCCAGGGGCTCTAATGCACGTACGGTGCAATGAGATGGATTGCTGCCTGTATTGCACAAGCAGGTTTAATCTGAAGCCAAGAAGCCTAGCTCAGCTGCAATGACAAGGATGCCCCAAGGACCCGACCTGAGGCTCCTAGGGAGCCTACGGGAAAATTAAGGCTGGAGCAAACCCTCCCCTGGCGGCTGACAGCAGGGTCAACACTCTGCCAGGACTTCAGCATTGGAACAGTGCCGGTGGCCACCTGCTCTCAAGTCCCCTCGAGGAGGGCAATGCCAACACTAGCTTGCCAGGAAAAGCCCCTGCCGACCATGCTCCTTGGTCCCCCTCACGCTGCCCCTCTCCTTCCAGCGCACTGGAGCTGGGGCCTGGGCCACCCAGCCAAGCAGGTCACCAGAGGCTGAGCCTTATGCTGTCCCGGCTCTTAGAAATGCAAATGCCCTTTGGCCTTTTCATAGGCAAGAAAAGTGCAGGCCTCTGGGGGCACATTCAAGGCCCTCCTCTCCCAAATCCTCTGTCCAGCCTCATCTGGACTTCCTCTGCCTGTCTATGACCTTTCACTGCAGCCAGGGGACAGCAGGGGGTGGGTGTGTCTCCTCACTCCTCTTCTGAGCTGCAAAGCAGTGTGGTGGTTAAGAGCGAGACCTGTGAACCAACCAACGCACATCCTGGCTCCACGCTTGCTGGCTGTGTGACTTACTAGGCACCAGGCCGGCAACTTAACAGCGCGTCTGCAGAGCCTCATCTGAAAAATGGACGGAAACTCTACCCAGCCCATAGGTTGGTAAGGTTTAAATGAGCCATATTGTGCGACGGGGTGTGTGCAAAGATTCTGACCCAGTCCCTGGTATTTAAGTGCTAGCTGTTACAATTCCTGCCCACCATACCCACTGCTCATTTCGACCTTGACTCAGGTCACCCCCTGGGCCTTTCTCTCCTGCCTCCCCATGCCTCTCCATCCATCCTCTGAAGCCCTGATCTGATCCCCAACCCCTCCTCTGCTCTTCCATAAAGCCTTTCCAGATTGTTCCAAACTGCACCAACCTTTTCCTAGAGATGTCTCCACCCCTCCCCAGAAGAACTCAGATCCAGCAGAAGAGGGGAGACCCTGGAGGCACTCAACAACTCTGATGACGAGGTCTTTGTTGAGTACTTAGCAAATGCCACACACCATCCTTAGCACTCGTTACAATTGTCATTTAATGCAATGATCCCATGTGGTAGATAGTATTTTTTCCTCCATTTTGCCCCAAGAAAATGAAGGTATTAAGTGCCCTTAATAAGATCACATGGCTGGTGACAGGGGGCTGGGGCTCAAAGTGTATCCTATCGTTCTTCTGAGGCAGTGCATCCCACTGGTTGAGGCCACAGACTGCCTGAATACAAGTTCCACCCCTGCCTCTTACTGGACTGGCTTTAGCAACGTACATAACCTCCTTGTCCTTCAGCTTCCTCTACTATAAAATAGGGGTAATGACAGACCCTACCCCCTGCTGCAGTGGGAGGAAAAAGCACTAGGACAAGGTAAGCCTATCTAAGAACTGGCTATTAATATGATCCATCCCGCCACCTCATTTTAATAGAGGAGGTTCTGAGGCACAGAGCAGTAAAAGGCTACGGAGGTAGTGGTCCAGCTGGGCCCACAGTCTCATCTTCATTTCCACCTAATGGCTGCCTTTTGACTCTGCTTAATTAGGTCTCAGCTCTATCCTATGGAGCTCTACCCTATGACTCAAAGGGGACAGGAAGAAGCAGGGGAACCTCTCTTCAGGCAGACCATGGGAGGGTGCAGCCTCCTCTCTCCTCTGGGCACTCAGGGTTAGAGGTAGGCCATTCCCTTGCCGCCAGGAGATACCTTCACACTCTGCCCTCCTCCATGCCCAGCCTGAAAGCCCCTTCCTCCTTGAAGCCCTCCCTGATCCCACCACCTACACTCACCTGCCCAGCAGGAAGTGCTTTCTCCCTCCACTGAATTCCCACAGCACCAGCTCCACCTCTCCCCAGTGGCATGACCTCTCTGAACTGCAATCCTGGCTATGAGAGTGCAAACCTCTCTCTCTGCAGTCCCCTACCCTTGGCCCTGCCCTCACTCCACCCAGGCCAGACACCTAAGATTCCAGCTTGTCATGTGAATGGAATGAGTGAGAGGGTGAGGTGATGAATGAATGAAGGATTGGGTGAGTGAGTGAATGAGCGGGTGGGTGGGTGAGTGAATGAAGGAGTGGGTGGGTGGATGAGTGAATGAATGAGTGGGTGGGTGGGTGAGTGAATCTCTCCCACAAGCTTGGGGGGGCCCTGAGCCAAGTTCAGGTCTGAGGGGTGAGCTTGGTCAGCCCTGACTCACAGGGCCCCCGAGGCAGGGCTAGAGGAGGGCCAGGTGGGGTCCCGGGGGAAGCTGGAAGGATGCCAGCTTAGTGGAAGCCACCCACTGCTGTCCCCTCCTACCTCCAACTCCAGCAGAGATGGACACGGAACATACAGATACCTGATCTCGGGGCCCTTAGCCATATCCAGCCCACACCACCCACCCGAATTCAGGGCTCCAGATTCAGGGAGTTACTCACTTCTCCCCTCCCCATCCCTGACTCTTGCTGCTGTGGTTCCCTCAGCCTAGAATGTTCTCCCCATTCACCCATCCCTCAGCTCTCACCTGATGTCAAGTGTCTATTGGTCCCTAGGGCCCAGCTCAGGGGTTCTCAGCCTAGCTTCTCATCAGAATCGCCTGGGGAGCCTTTCGAAATCAAGGTGACTATGACAAACCAAGGTTCTGATTTAATTGGTTTGGATTGTGGCTCGGGTACATTTTTCTAAAAGCTCCTTGGTGATGCTGATGTGCAGCCAGGTTGAAGAACCAAGAATTTAGTTTAAATACCCCCTTCTCCATGGATCCCTGCCCACCTTCCCCACAGAGAACGCCCTTCTTCCTCTCCTGAGCATGCCTGGGGGTGAGACCCCCTCCCCAGCACTGGCCTGCCCCCTCCTGGGAGGGTGTCCATCCTTACACCTGTCTCCTGCCAGGACACCCCTGTGGGTGAGCTTTCTCGTCCTCTCCCAGCCCAGGGCTCCACAAATGGCACGCAGCTCACCTGCAGGCCCGGACCCCACCCCACATCCCCGCTCTGCTCTTCCCTCCTGGATGCTTCTTATTGCTCAGCTCCAAATGTATCTGAGACCTACAATGCAGGAACAATGGCCCTGGGTTGGGAGGCAGGACAGCTGGGCTCCAGGCCCACCTCAGCCTCACACACACCTCCCCCCATGCGGTCTAGAGTCCCTGCCCTCAGGGCTCCATTTTCCCATCCCCTAGACAAGAGGCGTGGGCCAGATATTCTTTTGGTCTCCTGCAACTGTGCGCCCATCTGGGCCCCCTGCCTCAGTTTCCCTGGCTGGTGGAACCTAAATCCACTTTCGGCTTCGGTTAGGGCTGACCAAGAGCTTGGCTGGAGGGAAAAGGCAGCATGGCCGGAGTGGTTCCATTACCAGTTCCTGTCCACTGCTGACTGGTGGAGAGCTCAGGCTCAGGGTAGGGTGGGGGGCGGGGGGTGCCTACCATAACATTGAACTGGACTGCAGATGAATTACCATTTAAACACTGTGCTCAGAAGAGCTCCTGTAAATGGGGAGGATCTGTACAGAAAAGTGGATCCCTCTAGTCTGGGCAGAGAGCCACACCCTCCAGCGACTGAGGCATAAGTGAGGCTGTCGAGGCCTCCAGGATGCCCCCAGTCCCAAATCTCCAACTGCCCACACAGAGCCTCTCTCTGGCCCCACTGGGCATCAGGAAGCTGAGGGTGCCTTTGCCCTGTGGGCCTCGGCGTCCTGTCTGCACAGTGGGGAAGTCAGGAGGAGAGGGGTTACAAGGCGACTGGTTCTCATACAGGGGCCATGCCACTCCCTCGGGACATTTGGAAATGTTGCAAGGCATTTGTGGCTGTCATAGGATCCCGGGTGTTAGGGGCATCTACTGGGGAGAGCTAAGGCCACTAAATGTCCTGCAGGGCACAGCCCCATCCACTACGAGGAAGCAGGATCCCCCCAGGGCTAACAGCAGCCCCGGGAAGCACTGCCCCAGACAGGCTTAGGACTGGAGCTCCTGCCGTTGCCTGCTCTCTGGCTTCTAATGGAGCAAACAAAGCAGGTGGGAAATGACCCCACACCTCCTGCCCTGGGTGGACCAGGTGCTCTCCAGCTCGGCCACAAACAACAGCTGTGTCCCTGCTGCCACCAGGCCCCGGCTGCCCGTTAACGAGCTCTTGGACAGCCGCTGCCCAGCTCAGACACCAGCTCTCTATCCCAGCCCCCATGGGATCGAAGGTGGCCACCTCCAGCCACACAGGACAGCCCGTTCCAGAGGGAGGCATCCAGAGCAGGCTGTCCCCAAGGAGGGCAAGCCCAGTGTCACTGCCCAGAGCAGATTCAGGACTCCATCCCCACAAAGGGCTTTTCTGAAGGACCCAGGGACCTGTACCTTCTACCACTTTCCACAAGGTGGCAGGGGGCTGGGATACCAGTTCTAAAGCCTGGCCTGCGTGTGCTGGGGATGCTGTGCCCTCCCCAACACCCCACTCACCTGGGAAGGAGTCATTCCAGCCCATCAGCTCATTGGCCCTCTGGATCTTCTCCAGGCACATGGCTTGCTCCTTCTTGAGGATGCAGCTCGAGTGCATGGTGGTGGCCTGCAGGGAACACACAGGAGGGAGCTTGGAGGTTTGTCTACAAGCCTGCTACCTAAGCCCCAGGGGCCGTGGGGGGCAGTGGCAGAAGCAGGAAGGGGATAGTGACAGAGATTTCAGGGCCAGCAGGGACCCTGACATACCATGAGGGCTCTTCTCCTTCACCACCTCAACATGTGGCCTTGGGTGGATCCCACCCCCTCCCTGGGTGTCAGTTGCAGCCACGTCTTTAATAATATTAGTAAACACATATATGGCACTTTACCATGTGCATGCATTGTTCTGTCCATATATATATATATATCGAGTACTACAAAGTAGGTACTATTTTCACCATTTCCCATTTTACAGACGTGAAACTCAAGCACAGAGATGTTAAACAACTTGCTCAAAGTCACATGGCTTAGTAGATGCACAGCCTGGATTTGAACCCAGGTGCTGTGGCTCCAGAGACCACTCGGCTAGTACTGCACTTTATGGGAGCAAGCCGCGGTGGGAGAGAGGAGGGGCCGGGAGAGCTCCTCCTCTGTCTCCTCTGAGGGCTCAGGAAGAAGGCGCAGCCCAGCCCAAGGAGCTGCAGGCGAAGGAGCAGCGGTTGCTTTCAGTGGGGCCCACCAGCTGCACTCATTTACTCCCGGCCCATTTTACGGAAGAGGAAACCAAGGCTCAGAACAGTTAAGAAACTCGCCCCCAAGGTCACACAGGTGGTTAGCGGCAGATACTGGATTAAAGCGCAGGACCAAGTAACTTCAAAGCCCGCGCATCATCCCATGACAGCTGCATCCTAATGCTGTCACTTTAATCAAAACTCCAGGGTAGTGTTCAGGGATCCAGTCTAGCTCTGACTGTTCACAGATGTGCAGGCGGCTTCCAGGGAGAGGGATGGGCTTGTCTGTGGTCACAGTAAGGCAGAGCAGAAGGAGGACCGGCATCCAGGGCTCTGAAGACTGCTGTATCCATTGAAGGGCTGAATTCCCAGATTGAGGGGAAAGGGCCAAAGCTTGGGAAGCCTCCTCCCCCAATCCCCCTAGCTGGGGGAGAGACATGAGCAGAAAGCAGGCTTTTGAGCTCTAACCTGGCAAAGACTTGTGGGCTGGGGACTGGAATCAAAAAAGCCATCTGCAGCCCTGACCAGGGCCCCTCCATACAGTTGAGCAGGTTGTGTACTGCACAACTCTAAAGGTTGCCGCACGTCACCATCATAATAGGGATATAAACTATGTAACAATTTCCAGTCAAATCAGTACAGGGTCTTGAGGAAGGGGCACCCTTTCCGATTCACACAAAGGTGCTGGATGGCCCGCTGTGGGTGCTGGCAGAGATACCAGCCAGGCGAATTGAGCTTCACTGAGGGCACATGAAAGACACAGGTTCCGGGGGTGGGGGCTCAGGTGAGCCTGGGGCTCCAGCTGGTCAGGGAGGAGAGGGTCCTGGGCCCTTACCATAGGGAGCAGGAGGAGAGCAGCCAGGGAGGCCTGCACGATCCTGGCCATGACACTTCTCAGCCTGGCAGGAGGCTCAGGCCAGGACTGCTTGCCTCCCAGTCAGAGCAGCCGCTGGTCAGCCCCAAGGTGTCTGCGGGCTAGAGAGAAAGGAAAAGCGTGAATCCAGAGGAGGGGCAGGGACCCCCTCCCCTCCCTGCAGCAAGGCTCTCAGCCTCCGAGGGTAATCCCCCTCCATGCCTTCATCCGTGCTGTTCTTTATTCTTCTATCCCACACACATCAGCTGAGCCCCTACTCAGTGCTGGGCACCGAGGATACAGTGGGGAACATGCTGGCTGAGCCCCCATCCTACTCCTGGGACAGGCTGGATGGCTTTCTCCTCTGCAGCAGACGTTGTCTCCCCCAGTCTCCCCCAACAGCGACTGGTTTTGCTGGCCCATGCATGCCCACCTGGAGAGGACCTTTCCAGGTCCCTCAAGTGCAGGCCTATGACGAAGGTCCCCCCAGGACACGTGGGGGGCAGTGCCACTTCTGCACCACCCGTCCACAAGGCATCGCATACTCTCCTCTTCCGTCCTTCCACCCTTCCCCAGCGCTGGACCAGCTCTGATGGTGCAGCAGGGGCAACACCAGGGGCAGGGAGCGATGCTCCGAAAGGAACCCAGATGGCTCAGTGAGCTGACGGGGCCAAGGCCACACCGGCCTGGCAGGTGGAGCCAGTTCCAGACCGATGCATGAGAAAGAACCCGCTTCTGTCTAAAGCGCTCCCTCCACGAAGGCCGCTGTTCCACTGCGGAGCCGGCTCCCCTAACAAACCTCACCTCCTTCCACTCTGCCTCAGCCCACCTGGCCCCCAGGATAATGCCTTTACCACCACGACACACAAACCAAAGTGACTGCTGAAGAGGGCGCTCAGGCCTCAGTGCTGCAGAACTCCAAGTCGGGGGGGGGGGGGGGGGGGGGGGGGGGGCTGGTCCTCGAGAACGGGAGCCGCGAGTAGGGACCAGACAGGGTACGGGGAGCCAAGGGAGGAGGCTGTGGGAGCCCTGGCACATTCCCAGGGGAAGAGTCTGGTCTGCTTCTAAAATGGATCATTAACACACATTCCCTCCAACCCCGCCATTCCACATCTGGGTGTCTTTCCTAGAGAAATATCTGCACCATACAAAAAGAAGCAAATGCAAGGATGTTTACCGCAGCATCATTTAAAACAGCATCAACAGCAAAAACCGGGGCAACAAAGCATCCATCAGGCAGGCACTGTTAATAGGCCCCAGCACACTCATACAATGGAATACTACATGGTAATTTAAAAATTATTACTTTCATTACTATTAAATTCTTATTAAAGAGATTGAGTAGGCCCATATCAGGGCCACCACTAACCCATAGGTGCCTGGTTCAGGAGGCCCATGGGGGTCTGCATCCCAACCATCAGTCCTTGCACACCTCCGACCAGTGGGCAGAGCTGCCATTACCCCGGGGCCTCTGTGCTCCTGGCTGTCTGCCTACCCATCCCTCCCTCCCCACTCCTTACCTCTCCAAGCTCCCCTAGGCCTCTCCGAGCTCAATCTGGTGACAAGCAAGCACCCAAAAAGGAGAAAGAAAACCAGCCACAGGAAGGCTCAAGGAAAGGGGCCCTCATCTCACCCACCTGCTGCCCTGCCAGCTCAGGGACCACTCAGAGATGCTGAGGGAGGCTGTGAGTACCCCTAAGAGATGCTCTGAGAAGCCCAGGGGCCCATGGGGATGCTGGCCCACCCTGTCCCCTGCAGGTCAGGACTGGGCAGGCTCCGGCTCAGCATCCCTGGGCACCTTGAGGTACCAGCTGTCCTGGACACTCAGGCTTTAGTCTCTGTAACCCCTCCCAGAGCCCTCCACATCCCTGCTGGTCACCAGCTGCCTCTGGCACTGGTGGCCCCCGGGGGGCTCTGTCACTTCCACTATTCCTGGGGAGCCCAGAGCTCAGTCTGCAGAGAGCTGACACTTCTGACCTGCCTGGCTGGAACAGAGGAGTGCCTGGCCCATCGGCCCTCAGTAGATGCTGGAGGCAGTCTCTCTCAGCCAGCAGAGGGCTTAGAGAAGCGTGGGCAAGCCAGAAGGCCTCCGAGATCCAGAGCTGACTCTCCCACACCTAGGACAATGGCAGGCCAAAGGCTAGTGAGGTCTGAAGTAAGGAAGGGGTCCACACAGCCCTTCTGGTGGGGTGCCAACCATCTCAATCTGCGGCCTGGGCCTGGGTTCTGGCCCCAGCACTGGGCCACAAGCTAGATCCTTTGCTTCTGCGGGTCTCAGCTTTCTTAGCCAAGAGGAAGATGACTCCTCATCTGAGCTCCGTCCTTGGCCTGCCTCACAGCCAGCAGGGCCCAGACAAGAGCCACAGGAGGGAAACGGATGCACAGCCTGTGTCACTATGTGGACACACAGTGCTCCTTCCGGAGGAGCTGTCTCCCTTCAACTCCTAGCAAGATGCTACTAGAAACATCAGCCAGCCACTGTTTCTGTCTCTTGGGAGAGACCTCTCGGCCTGGGGCACAGAGCAAGCTTCCTGGAGGAGGAGGCCTGGGAAGAGGGAGGAGCACTCAGAAATGAAATCAGAGCTCCCAGCAACACCCTGAGAAGGCAACAGCACCACCCACTTCCTTCAAACCAAGACTCACTGCCTCCTCCCGCAAGCCCTGACCCTGCTCCCAAGGTGCGCTCTGACCTCCCAGCCCAGCGCTCCCCTGGGCTGCCCATCAGAACCACTCAGAAGCATTTAAAAATACCCCTGCCGACTGAGTGGGCCTCTCCGGGGCTGGGCCCGGGCATCAGTGTTGTTTACAGTTCTCCAGGTGACTCTGGCATAGAGTCAGATTATAGAGCCTCTGTTCTAACCTTTATTAGAACCAGCAGAGCTGGCCCGGAAGAGCTAGCAGCTTCCACTGCTCTGGCTGCTCCAGAGGGTTAGCGGGGCAGCAGGCAAGCAGAGAATGAGTTTGTGTTTTGAGGGCTGGCTGATTTCTGATTTTCTCCTCTCCCTCTCTGCCTCTCTCTCACACACACACAAATACACAGAAAAAGGTCCACAGAGAAGAGCATAAGACATGTCAATCCCACCGAGAAAAAGAGAGACACTGATCCCCAGGGCGCCCGCCTGAAGGCATCATATAAATGCCATGTGTAGAACACACGAGGGTGGAGAGTCCTACAGGGACCAGCAGACACGACACGTGTGCGCGCGCGCACACACACACACACTCTCCTCCCCAGAAATGCAGAGGCACACTCACCACATATAGAACAAAGAGACCTACAGGTGCAACCACACATTTAGATATTCAGGTACGTTTCCCAGACCATTGATGCATATCATAATACAGACACACTTATTCTGCAAAGGCATTCAGATACACAGAGGCAGTTAGATCTGGATTCGGAGGCAGGCGCAGGTACACACAGACACACGCACATGCACACGTGTGTGCATGCGTGCACAAACATGCTCACACAGGGATGCCAGACTTGCAGGAGGCTCGTCCCTGCTCCAGGCAGGGCCGCTCTTCAGCCACCCCTGCAGTGGATTAAAAAGAAGCTGGAGCAGACGGCTCAGCCCCACCAGCCCCAGCTCCCCGCACTGTCACCAGGCTGCTTAGGCAACGACATGAACCAGGGAGAGGTGTCCCCTCCACCTGACGACAGGGAGAGGGGCTGGGGAACTCAACCTGGGCCTTCTCTGGAACTAGACCCAGGGTCTTGACTCCCACTGTTGCCCTCTCTTATTTGTTGTTGTTGAGATATAACTGACATACAACATTAGTTTCAAGTGCACAAGATAACGATTCCCCATTTGTACGCATTGTGAAATGATCCCAATAAGTGTAGCCAACATCCACCACCACACAGTTACGACTTTGTTTTCTTGTGATGAAAACTTGTAAGATCTACTCTTGGCCCACTGTTGTCCTGGCTTATTAACACCCCATACACACACTATAGTCCACTCCTGCCCAACCGCACACAGACACCAGCGAGAGAGAACCTGGGAGCTGCCCGGCCTTGACCAGCCCACTCCTCTGCTGGGGACCTATGGAATTACCTACTCTGACCTCTCCCAGGGTGACAATCTCCTCAGCCCCTCCTGGCACTTCTGCCCCCATCCTATCCCTGCCCGAGGCCACCTTGCAGCATCCCTGCTGGACAGCGCTCAGAGCTCACTGTCTCAGGCACCTGGTCCTCCTCAGGGCCACATGCTGGTTCATCTGCCCTCTGAGATGCATCCCCTGGGCCTGCCACCTGCAGCCCTTTCAGGGGCTCCTCCTCCTCCTCATCCTGGCTGCCCCCCTCCTCTGGACTCCCCCAAGCAGCCAGTGCCCTCTCACAGGACAGGACTAGGCCCGGCCACTGCAGCCTGGGGTTGGTCTCCCCTCTCCCTGGGGATGGACACTGGGTTCTTCCGGCCCAGCCACACAAGTGGCTCAGGATGATCTTCTCACTGACACACGCAGGTTGTCTCCTGGGTCCAGGCTCTGCTGGGGCCACTGGCTTTTGCAACTGGTCTGAGGACGATTCTATGTCCTGGTATTCATTGTGGTGAAGCTGGGGACCATTTTGCTAGAGTTTTTAGCCTTAGGGACTCAGGAAAGCCACTTGGCTTTTCTGTGCCTCAATCTGATTACCTGTAAAATGAGAATACTAGTAATACCTATCTCATAGATATTACTCTGAGGCATAAACAAATTTATATAAGTAAACTCTATAGAGTATAGACTGTCCTAGCTACATGTGTGTAACTATTATCATCTTACCACTGATGTTCAGGTTTTTGCATCCTCTTGCTGTCACCTCTACCCCCATAGCCCTGTGTCACATTCAAAATGGGAACAGCAGGCCTGCTGTGCCTTTCTTTGCTAATGACTAACATTTATTAACCACTCAGTATGTGCCAGGCGCACTTCCAAGCAATAAATATGCATTAACTCATTTCACCTGCCCAAAACCTATGAAGTAGTTACTCGCATTATCCTCGTTCTATAGCTGAGATGACTGAGGCACAGAAAGACTAAGCAACTTCCCCAAGGTCACACAGCAAATACATGGTAGAATTGGGAAGTGATCCCAGGCAGCCTGGCTCCAAAGCTTGCATGCTCCATCCCTGTGCTCCTGCCACTTTCTGTCACTGGTAAAAGGAAGATCAGCTCAGAACCCATTGGTACCCCATTAGTGATCCCTCTCACACCTTTGGGGACTGGTTAGGGCTTCGGCTACTCCTTGCCCATATTTCTATATCTGAAACACCCTCCTTAGGAAGAGTTAATTATAGACGCAGCATTTCAGACCTGAAATGGATTTTAAAAGCCACCTCCTAGCGACTGACTTACCTGTGGGGAAAGCGAGGCCAGAGAGGGGGAGACGCTTCCCACGGTTCACACAGTGGAGAGTCCTAGAGCCCTGCCTGGCAAAGGGATGTGACAGACACCTGAACCGGAGGGAAGTACATGCCCCCTTCCAGACTCAGGGGAGCCTGCCGTCCTCAGGCCTCATTAGCCCAGCGACCGACCAGGAGCGGGAACTGACACGAGCAGCCACGTCCTGTGCTCCGGTGAGCCACTGCACCAGGCACACAGGAAGATGGCATCATCACTCAGCACACCGGAGCCAGAGGTGACTCACCGGGCTCCCGACTTCCCACATGGAGTGGGAGGGGACTCAGAGACCCTGCAGCCATCCCCCACTCCCCCACACCCTGCAGGACCCTTTCTGCAGCATCTCGGCTGAGGACGGCCCGGCTCCTGGGATGGGGCACTTACCCCTCACCAGAGCTGGTCCAGGGCCCTCAGGAGCAAGCTCTGACGTCTTCCCACCATGTCCTTCTGGGCCATCCTTTGCCTCGTGAAGCCCCCACCGTGTGGGAGTGGCAGCTTGCCCTCCCTCTCCATTGGACCACACAGCCTGGGGTCCCTCTCCTGCCTGGAAGGAGCTGGGGCCAGCTGGGCAATCTCCTACTGGAGTCCTCTGGCTGCTCAGCATCCCTCTCAGTCACAGGGCAGTGCCAAGCCTGGACACCAGACAGAAGATGACCCAGGAGAAGTGGATCACGGCCTCCCTCGCTGGCCACATGCTCCCTTTATTAACTAGACCTGAGCAGGACTGCACCCCAATTCCTCCTCTGCCTCCCAGTGCAGGGAACCAGGGAGCGAAGGCTGAAAGATGAAACGCTGCTCCCCCTCAGCTCACCCCTCAAAAGGAGGGAACTGCACTTGCTTCTGGGAAGGAAGACGGAACCCCTTTCCTCCTCAGGAAGGTCAGAGCTGATAAAGGCAGAGCCCGGCACCTGGGGGAGACGCATCCTGGCAATCGCAGGATTAATCAATAATACTGATGCTCCTCTTGGCAATCAAACCTTCCCCTTTCAGAACCTGGCCCCCAGGGTCCTGCACACAGCTGGTGACAGAAGCCAGGTCCCTGAAAGGGCCCCCAGTGATGATTCCACCCAAGCCCTACAATTTACACTCAGGGAACGCGGACTCGGGGCAGGAGCACATACTTGCATGCTGGTGATATTATTTCATTTCACTGGTGAGGGTGTGAGGCCCCCAGAGACAGGGAGACTTTCCCAGGGTCATGCTGCAGAGCCCTTCAACCCTGGACAGTCCAGGCACATCCCCTGTCCGGGAGGGGTTCTGGGAGTTCTCTGGCAAGGAGAGCACCGCCGCCCCCCCCCCCCATTAGCAAGAGGAAAAAGGGAGAAGAGGGGGAAGGAGGTAGCAGAAGATGATAGAAGGGGGAAGAGTAAGGTGGGAAGGGCAGTGCTGGAAGACAGGGGGAAGGGCGAGGGTACTCTGAGCACCTCCCAGGCCTAGGGTGTGGCTCAGGGAGAGGGAGGACTGACCCTGTTAACCAGCAGTCCCAAGTCTCCTGGAAGGAGGGACAGCTCCCATTCACATATGCCCCCGGCACACGCCCGGGCAGGGCACGGGGTGGGGGCCCAGGACACTGTGATGAGTGCCTGGCGGATGGGTCTGGGAAGGTGACTTGGGGTGTCAACGGGCACAGCAAGATATCAGGCGGTGGCGGTGCACAAGAGGGTGGGAGGCTGGTGCCAGTCCTCAGATGCCAGGGACGCTGCCCTGTTCCACGGGACAGGGCTGGGAGCACTGACGAGAGTGTGGCAGGAGAGTGAAGTCAGGAGTCCCTGTTCAGGAACCTTCCACAGAGTGCTGGTGAGCTGAGCGGAAGGGAAAGTGCAGGCAGAAAAGCCACACTGAGGCCGTTTTCCGGATTCAGGGTAGAGGTGATAGGGGCCCGGGTGGGGAAGGGCAGCTGGAATGGAAAGAGGGGGACACAATCCAGAGACTTGGGACAATGGGAGAGGAGAGTCTCCCTGGCCTACCTCCAGGGAAATAGCAGGAAGGAAATGTCAGAAGGGGACAGAAGGGATAAGAAAAAACTGAAGGCAGGACCTGGTTCACCACGCAGCCTTAAATCAGAAGCTGGGAAGTTCCAAGGTGCCTAGCAAGGAGCTCTACATTTTTTTTCTCAGCCAACCCTCTGCGGTGCCCATTTGTCAGGGGGGAACGATGAGGACCACTAAGGCAATGCATGGAGTAGGATGAGAGCGTCCAGGTGTTCCTCAAGGCCAACCTGACCTCCTCCCACCACCTCCAGGAAGCCCATCCTGGTTGCACCCACCTCCACTGACCTCTCCCTCCTCCTGGATGAGAGCCCCTCACTCCTGCCTGGGCTGTTTCAGGTCTTGTGCTGCTCACTGTCAGTTTCATGTCCTGTCTGGAAACAAGGGGCATGTCCAGATCTCCCTGCAGTCTCCCTCCTGGTGGAGGTGGGCACAGACCTGGGCACAGAGGGTGAAGGGGAAAGGGGACTCAGGATCTGTTTGATCAGTCCCAGCGCTGGGATGTCGTCCCATGAATGTTGTGCCGAGGTGTCCTCAGAGTGGGAGATTTATGACACGGACACAGCGGAGGCTGCCTGGGGTGGGGTGCTCAGGCCAGGCGGGGGGCCTCTCCTGGCACTGACCCATTATGCAGACGGGCACTCTGAGCTCCAAGCAGAGTGGAGGGAAGCATCCAACGCCCCCTAGGGCAGCTCAGGCTCTCAGTACTAAGGCCCTCCCTCCTTCCACCTCTTAAACCACTTCTCTTCTCTAACCTTATAGCCCAGGGGTTAGCAAACCCTTCCAGCATGTCACACCCAGCCTGTCACCTATTTCTGTGCAGCCAGTGAGCCAAGAATGGTTTTTACATTTTTAAATGGTCAGAAAAAACCTAAAAGACTCATATTTCATGACACACAAAAATTGCATGAAACTCAAATTTCCATGTCCGTTAATAAAGTTTATCAGAACAGAGCCATGCTCACTTTTTTATTTGTCATCTATGGTTACTTTTACACTACAACAGCAGAATGAAGTAGCTGTGACAAGAGTCTACGGCCAGCAAAGCCTAAAATATCTCCTATTTGGCCCTTTACAGAAAGTTTGTCAACTCTTGTTCTGGTCTCATGCAACCCATGCAGAATTTCCCCATTCCATTCATCGTGCATCTGGACTTCACCAAGGCAGACTTCTGTGATCCTCCTCAGGCAAATGTCTGAGCCCCCAGTTGTGACCAGATCTGTGTGAGTGGGTGTGTCACCAGGTCCCTTTGTCGTTCTGCTGTTGCATGTTTTGCCCCAGCTCTCCGGCAGTTGTCATGGGAAGTCTATATGCCTTCCCAGCAGTGTGTCACTCCCTCTCTGTGTGTCACTGTGGGGGTGGCTGTCACCATGTGCCTCTGACGGCATCCAGGGCTCAGTACAAACACGTTGCAGGCGAGGAGTTTCCAGCCTGCAGGTTGCCAGGCAGCTGGACCACTAGGCCCAGCCTGTTGAGACCCTGGACTCTTAGATTCCTTTGGTCAAAGACGGCTGAAGCTTCCAGGGCCGCTAGCCCAGTGCAGAAAGCCCCCAGGCAGCCCCTATCCGGGGCATCAGACCTTTGCTCCCATACCTCCCTGGACAAGAAACCAGTTACTCCAGGTGTCAGCTCCATGCTGGCCGGCTCTCGGGGAAGGTAGGCCTTCCTGGCACAGAGCCAAACTCAAGCTCTGTGCCAGGCACACCTTGGTCCTGCCCTAGGCCAGGCAGCACAAGCTATCCTGCAATTCATCAGTGCCAGCTCTCGGTCAGACCTGGGATCCTCAACCTCAGGCCATGTCCTCAGGAAGAAAGCCACCCTGTGGCCTTAGCTCCTTCCCTTCCTACCTCCTCAGTTGCATATACTGATCTGTAAACATGCATTTTGTGTGTTTGTTTATCCAACACAAATTGAGGGAGTGTCCAAGGTAGAGCATGGCAGAGAGGCGGTGGCTGCATGAAAAAGGATGGGTCCCACAGTGTTTCTCCAATCAAACCCCTGCCAGCTTGAACCTTTCACAAAACAGGACCTTAATAGATCCTTCAGTCTGATTACTCAGTGGAATGCAGGAAAGGGTTCATGGAGAGGCTCCCCACAGACACTTCCCCTCACCACACACAGGGGCAAGGAGACTCACCAGGTCTCATCCCAGACACAGAACCGCCTATGAAGGACTCCTGGTGGGGGATGGAAGGGACGACTCCGCCATCCTGGTCACCCCACACACACTTGTTGATGGATTCGATGGATGATCTGGCCTAGGGCCTGCCCCAGTATGTTCTGTCTCTAATTTGTATGTACAAATTTTGGCTTGCATCCAGACTGGCGGCCTGGCTTGCCCTCCCCAAGGTCAGTGGGAAGCAGAAGCCCCAGATTCAGCTCCGCCAACCCCACCTGCACCCAGCACCAAACACAGACTGGGGCCTCCTGAGAAAATGTGGGTGCTGCCACAGCCTGCCCCCCACCCCCATATAGTTCTTTCTCCCCTTCAGAAGCCCACGGCCACTCAAAAGGTTCTAGCCTGACCTTCAGGATGCTTGTCTCCTCTGCCAACAGCAGTTTCAAGGCTGTTGCCCTCCACAGTGTGTGCGGCCCACTCCCATTCTTCTGCACCCCTCCACACTCCCTCCACCCACCCCCCACCCCCCCCCACACCGCGCAGGGCTGCTCACAGGAAAAGCCAAATGCTGTGTCTCAGTTTTCGGGTTTTCTTTTTTTTTTTTTTTTTGAGAGGAACTGGCTTTGTGGGGCACTGTGTGGCTGGGGGAGGTAAAGAAAGTGGAACTGACGCATCTGCACTAAAAGCTTAGAAATGGTCTGGAGAGTGAGCAGGGGTCTACCACCCCCAAGAAGCATCTTCCAAAGGGGGCCTGAGCTGCTTCCAGGGGGTTGGCTCCACTCCCCGGCTCCTTGTGAAATACAATTGGCTTCTGGCTGGGCTCCCTGCTGAGCCCTAACCTGCCAAGGTCCCACCAGGATGTGGCCCCCCCCCCCCCCCCCCCCCCCCCCCGCTTCCTGCAGCTGCCGCAGGAACGGGACGGGCAGGGGTCTCGGGCCGGCCAGCTTCAGCCCGGGAGACGAGCACCTTTCTCCCACAGGCCGCCGCAGGGTGTCTCCTAGCGGGACCCCCCAAGCCCAGGCATCCTGGCCCCGGCCCTTCCGCGCCGCGGGAAACCGAGGGACAACGCTCTTTTGAACAATCCCGAATGTTTCACCATAGAGGGGGCATTCTACGCTGGCTCCTACCCCACACCCTACCGAGCACATCGCTTGCCCACCCCTCAAACCCGGTGAGGACTGCGGTACCCAGCCCTCGGGGACCCACCAGCGTCGCCTTCCCAGTTCGCGTAGGCGCTTCCGTCTGCCTCGGGAGCACAGAGACAGGTCCCTCTGGCCGCAGCGCCTTCCCAGCCCCTGGTTCTCGGTTCTCAGCACCCGGAGAGGCGCGAGGTGGCTAGGCCGACCCCACCCCCTTGGGGGGTGCAGGGATCTGTCGCCCCAAGCGCGACCCCCAGACACGGTGGGGTGGGGGGGGTCAGACTGTCGCGCAGGAAGGGAGCAGCGGCGGGAAGGGGCTTCGTTTGGGATTCGGGAGATTGGCCCCGCGCTGGCCCTGGCCCACTCTCCGTCGGTGGAGGACGCGGTGGAGACCGCCGAGCTGGAGTGGGGGGTCTGTGGGCCACGAGGGGCGAAGGTTCTAGAGTCGGGGGTGGGGGGGGCGGCCGGGGCGTGGAGGGGCAAGGGCGGCGGGGCGGCCCTTACCTGCTCGCGGCGGGGCCTCGCGCGGGGCTGCGGGCTGCCCTGCCGGCCGGGCTGACTCCGCGGCGAGGGAGCGCAGCGGCGAGTCCGCGCCCCGCGCCGCCCGGGGACGGGGAGCGTGTGCGCCGAGGAGCGCGCGCCGGGCCGGGGCTCCGCGTTCTGTGGCCGCCGGCGCCCGCTGTCCGCGGGTCCCTGCGCGGCGGCGTGTGCGTGTGCGCACGCGGGGACCGCGCTCGCCTGGAGCCGCCGCCGCCGCCGCCAGTCGCCGCCCGGGGCCCGCGCGCGGCACCCCCCGCCCGCCCTCGCCCTCCCGGCCGGGTCTGCCTGCCGGAGAGGCGCCACCTCCGCCGCGAAGCCAGGCCTGGGGCAGGAGGGAAGCGACCGACCACCGCCTCCCCCGCGCGCTTCGCAGGCTGGGGGGTGGGGTGCAGGCCAATGGGCGCCCGGGGGAGGGGTTAGGCCGGGGAGGGGGCGGGCGGGGGTTTGGAGGCCTCGCCGCAGACAAGAGCGGGAGCTGAGGCGCCGAGACCCTGGGGGCGAGGATGCGGAGGCGACGCCCCCCTCTGTCGCCCCGCTTCCGGGGCTCAGAGTCAGGCCTTTCCCGGGGCTCACCGCCCTCCTTTCCACCCTCCCTAAGATACCCGGCGCGAGAAAGCCCTCACCTTTCTCTCTCCCACGTCCTCATGATTCCGTGTCTGTCGGAGCCTGTTCCTCCTCCTCCGAGAAGCCTTCCTTACCGGGCAAGTCCCAGACTCTCCTTGGGCTCTCCTTTGCTCCCACAGCCCAGTCCTGGGAAGGTCAGCTAGCTTGGGGTGCTTGCCTGCATGTCCTCAAGTGTGATCTCCTGGAGAAGCCCTCTATGGCCAGAAAAGGCTGGGGCGGGGGGCCGGAGGGGGGTGTCTTACAGGGGTGCTTACAGTAACTGAAAATGATACTGCTCTGGAGTCAGCTGTCTGGGCTCCAGTCCCGGCTGTGCTCGGGCTAGCGCTGTGAACTTGGGCGGGTGGCTTGACCTCTCTGAACCTCAGCTTCTTCACTGGTAGAGCCACCTCTCCCCCAACCCCTCCCTCTTGACAACAGCGTTAAATAAGAATGGAACACACGCCCCATAATAGGTTTTCGCTGACTTTATTTACTCACTCTTGAATAAATTACTATTGCTTCTGTTGTTGTGGTCCTGCTGAATCTCTTCCTAGTACAGGTGGGATAATTAAGGCTTGATAAGGAGAACTAAACAGGTCAAGGTCGCGCGGCCAGTCAGTGATGGAGCGCAACCCTAGCTGAGAACAATTAGTTACCACTCCCAGGCAGAGGACTTGCCCTCTGTTCACCCCACCCACCATCCCACTGCCCCCACCTGTCCCTGCTCTCAGTCTCTGGTCACCGTCCCAGGCATCAGTATCCCAAGGGCTCCCTCAATATCCCCATCCACAGTTATGCTACCAGGCTCTGCCCTTCCCCACTCAAGTGAGTCATCGTCCAGCCTCCCTGTGGGCCCAAGTTTTGGGTGTGGCCACCTTATTGGGGAAGCCTCCAATTGGGGAAGGAGGAGGGAGGAGAAAGAGACTTGAGCCTTTCCTTGGGGATTCCAGGCCAAGTGAGGAGAAGAGGACTGGAGGATGGAGCAGGAGTCCATAATGGAAACTTGAAGGGAAAGCAGCTGAGGCCCCAGAAAGAAGCGAGGAGTACCCTGGGTCTGCAGAGTGAGTTGATGGTTTTTCTTTACCGCACAGAAGACACTGGCCCCGATGGTATACCACACTGTTGATTTGCATGACTTATATTCCTTTCAGTCCAGGAAAGCTTACTGGAGGAGGAGACTGTTAGTCTTTCTCTGTATCAATAAGGACTGGGACCTCTCTAGAGAGAAGAGGGCCAGGTGCTGTGCTCGAGTCAGACAGATAGGACTTCCCTCTGGACCTGGCTACACCCCTTCCTAGCTTGTCGCCCTAACCCTGGGAGCCTACTTCCTTCATCAGGCTCCAGCCAGGTGTTGTGATGATCAACTGTGATGCTATGTGTGAAAGTGCTCCGTAAACTGTGAAATGTCAGGAGCGGGAAGGAAGGGCTGCCAGGAGCCTCAGAGTCAGGAGGGAAGCGTGGAAGGCAGGCTGTTGGGGGCTCAGGCATGTGAGGAGGAGTGGAAACCAGAGTCACCTAGAGCAGGCCAGCTCACCCTGGAAACATCCACAGTCAGGCCCCCAGATGAGGTCCCCATAGCTCTGAGGTTCTGCATTCAGTTCCAGGTTTATCTCCTTTCCGATACTCTTAATTCTCCAGGTCCCCCTCCGGAGGGGGCTCTGGGTCCCCTGCTCTCTGTTCTGTGTCCTCAGATGTATCTTGGTGTGGGCAGTGAGCAGGTAGCATGGTGCCAGACTCGGGCACACCTTCCTCTGCCTGGGCAGACAGACAGACAGTGGAGGAACCCAGCGGTCCTCTGCTCACACCCTTTCCCTTCGCCTGTTCTCCCTTTGTTTCAAGGTCCCTGGCCAGAGGGTGAGCTCCTAGCCAGCCACAGCTAGGGGTCAGTCAGGGCTCTGGGTACCACTGTGCAATTCGTGCCCTGCACAAAAGGACCTGGCCAAGGGGCAAGTAGGGGTGGAAATCCAGCTCCTGCTCTGTCCACCGCCCACCAAACCAGGCATGCAGAGTCTCCCCAAAAGGGGCACTTTTTCTAGTTGCTCCTGGCAGGAGCGCCTCCAGTTCTCTCCAAGGTGCTATATGGCCTAGCAGTCCTTGCAGATGGCTTCTAATCCCAGCCCTACCTAATAGCAGCGGCCTGGGTGAAGCAGGAAATAGGCAACAGAGCTGGGATCCAAGGGGGTTGCCTAGTCCCCTTCTCTATGAATAAAGTGCCGGAGCCTAGAGGGACCACAGGACTAGCCCGAGGACACATAGGTAACTTTCTTATCAGACTGGGGACTAACGCCCACATCCTAGTTCCCAATTTAGTCTTACTCTACCCCTGGGGGCTGCCCCATCATGCCGGCAGCCCAGGAGACTGTTCTCTACCCCTCCCGGCATATGGCTCTGGTCTCTCTTGCTTCTCCTCGAGCAGGAGCTACATCAACTCTGTTGCCCAGACTAGGCCTTCTCAAGGACGGGGCCAGGTCTCCCTGTTCCTCCAAGCCAGCCAGCCCATTCTCACCCCGCCTGTCTGGCTTTGGGAAGACTGGAGGCCGAGGGACCACCCTCGGGAATAGTCTTCTCCCAGAGGACCCCTTGCATTGCCATCTGTCCCCTCCAGAGGGAGGCTGGGGGTCTCCTCAACAGCTTTTCCCTCCCCTGAGGTGCTCACTACCTCATCTCCTTTTCATAAGCCAGCCAGCCAGGCGGGCAGCAGCTGAAAAATATGGGTTTTAATTCAATTTTCTGAGACGTGGCCGAAGGAGATGGATGCCAGGCTGCCCTACCCAGCATCCATCTCTCCTGAGTAGCAGTTCCCTCCATGACTCCTGGCCCCCCACCCCACCCCACCCCACCCCACCCTGGCCTTATGCTGCTCAGGCAGAGAGCACAGCACATTTGAGGACACCAGGACATTTTTATTGTAGATAGCTGACATTTGCTGAATGCTCACCTCGTCTTGGGCCAGTGCTTCTCAACCCTCCTGGTGCTACAGAATCCCTGGGGAGGTGTAAAAATATACTCGTGCCCGGGCCTTACCACCCAAGACCATTAGACAATTGGTCTGTGGTGAAGCCTGGACCAAAGTATTTTTTTAAAGCTCCCCAGGGGATTGTAATGTGCAGCAAGGTTCAGAACCACTGTCCTAGGTCCTCTGCTAAAGGCTTTACATGTGAG